GGGAGATGAGGAGGGAGGGGAAGGAAAAAAAAGATACAAATAAAACATCAGTGAAGTTCTACAACCATACATTAGCTTATCTATCCATCTTGGATTTTTTCCACTTAAAATATTTTTGCAGAGCTTTGTATGCAGGTGCTTGTACAATAGTTAGGTATCAAATGTAAGAACTTCCAGTAAATTCAAAATTGTAAATGTATACAGCTGTTCCAAACTTTGTGGACTATTTATCATTTATCATTTTTATAAAAAATGAGAAGTGCTGTGGCATGTTAAAAACTAAAGCTACCAAGTTATTTCAGGAGTTATTTTGAAATAAATTTCAAAATAATAACTCCCAAAATAACTATTATGAAATAAGCCTGTTCCTCCTTCACAAGCAGGCATTATTATTTTGAAATACAGTCAGTCCCCAGGTTACGTACAAGATAGGGACTGTAGGTTTGTTCTTAAGTTGAATTTGTATGTAAGTCGGAACTGGCGTCCAGATTCAGCCGCTGTTGAAACTGACCAGCGGCTGACTACAGGAAGCCCGAGAAAGAGCTGTCGCCGCAGAGGACGGGGGCGGCGGGCCCGCCCAGACGCGCCGCGGTCCCTCCGCCCGCGTCCTCCGTGGCGAGAAAAGCCTGGTCTGCTGGGGGGCGGGGAGGGGCGCAGCAGCAGACCAGGGAGACGCGGAGCAACTTTTCTCGCCACGGAGGACGCAGGTGGCGGGACCGCGGCGCGTCTGGGTGGTCCCGCCGCCCCCGTCCTCTGCAGCGAGAAAAGCCCCGTTCGTATGTAGGGATCCGACGTAAGTTTTAAAATTTTAAAATTATTTAAAATGTTTTCCCTCATCTTTATTACTCATTGGGAGAAAAACACACTACAGGCAGTCCCCAACTTACGTGGATCCGACTTACGTCAGATCCCTAGATACGAACGGGGTGAGGCAACTCCCGCACATGAACAGCAGACAAAAGCAGCCTCTCCGCCCCTCCTCCCCCTATACATGCTGGGCTCCCTGGGCAAACAAAGACTCCACCAAAACAAACAAAGTGCTGGCCTCATTGTGTTAGCAAAAAAAGGACCCTCCTCCTAGAACCCTGGGTGGTGTGTGGAAATAAAGCTATTAGCTCAAAGCATGGTGCAGAGCTGTTTGGTATTTGATTAGTTACTCCTTTAGTCCTGAGTTTGTCACAGGGACAGAAATAGATGTGAAATCTTCTGAACAGGGGAACAGACAGCAAAACAAACATTAGAGGGGAGTTAACCTTTCCCTATGCTATCCAAAACTAAAAAAAATGTTTGGCTAGAGTTTCCCCTACAATATGTACCAGTTCCGACTTACATACAAATTCAACTTAAGAACAAACCTACAGTCCCTATCTTGTACATAACCCGGGGATTGCCTGTACATAAACAAACATGAGACGCTAACTCAGAAATTAGTGATTTTCACCAAGACGGCTCAAGTGCACGAATGAGCAGTGATGCTGGAACAATTTGTATAGTGAGGAACGGGGGTATTAAGAGTCACTGAATCAAACTGTAAACCAGGGGTGTGCAACCTTTTTTGGGTTGGGGGCCACTGACCCACAGAAAAATCAGTCAGGGGCCATACACAAGTGAGAAGCAAACCAAACCAAAACCAAAACCAAACCCTCCACATTCCTCTCACGCACCAGAGCCTAGTGGGTCCAAGCTAGTGGATTTTGTGTGCTCCAGCCCCACAGGGAGGTGGCGGGGTGGTGAAGCACCAGCATGAGCTCCTTAATGTTGGGGAGGAGCCCTGAGCCTCAGGAGCAAGATCCAGGCAAGGCAGCAGCTGCATCCTCACCCCTGCTGTAAACCCTGTATATGCTGGAAACCACTTCAAGCCACAAGGTGCAGCAGTTCCAGTGCCTATGCAGATGAGATCAGCTAATAACAGCAGCTGGCTGAAAGTGAAGCTGAGCAAGGCAGAGGTCATGCTACTGGACAGAGAAAGACATTCTGAAGAATTTGAATTCATGGAGCATTCTCCTTTGGTTGAAGATACACTCCCACAAGTAGTCACTACAGTCAGCAGGTTAGCTGTACTTCCAGATTCCTCACTGTAGCTGGCTCTGACAGAGGAGCTTCATTTCCAGGTAACTAAGAGACACTACCCTCTCACAGCAGAAAGTGACCTGGCTTCAGTTATTTGTACCTTCGTGACCTCCTGGTTGGACTATAGCAATGTAGTATACCAGAGGATGAAGTACCTTTGGCACTTAGCAAACTCCCACTTGTTCAGAAGGCTGCAGTGCATCTTTGCAGTAATTCTGGCTACACCAATACATTACACCTGTTCTCTTCTCCCTACTCTGACTTCCCATAGAATCAAGTCAAGTTCAATGTCTTACATTTAATCTTCAAGGTCTACGTAGCCTAGCACCAACACCCTCTAAAGCTCTGGGGCAAAGACCATAGTCATCAACTTTGCTCCTATATCTCAGTGGAGCTCCCTACAAGAGTAAAGCTTGTCCGTGCAGAAGATAGAACTTTCTAATGGACTGGTCCCAGGGTGTGGACTCCACCAAAAATTAAGGATCACCATGAACCTCACCATCTTCCACTCCAAGTATAAGATGCATTTTTTGACTTTACCTCTCTGAGAAAAATACATAGCAATATTCATATTAAAGAGCCCCTATCAAAACAAGATACTCCACTACAAGCACATTTGCATATTAGTCATGTTGCTTACTGCAATATTGGAAGGTGTTCTGATATTGTGGTGATGAGTGTGTTGTAAGAACCTACATAGAAAGGAACAGAAGTCACATGGTGCTAGTTCTCCTTGTTGCTTTCAATTGTTAGATACATTAAAAATTAGGAAAGCAGATTAATTAATATGGTGCTAACCCTCCTTGTTGCTTTCAGCTGTTAAAAATTAGGAAAGTAGATAAAAAGTGCCACCCACCAACTACCACAATAATCCTGCCTGGGAGGGTAGATGGTCCACAAAATAATCTAATAAAATAAAGTACACTTTATCAAAAGTTTTGAGAATCCCTGGTGTGACTGACTATAAAATTAGACTGATTACTATCAAATGAATCAAACAAAAAGAAAAATACACCTATTGTCACTCTAATCTCTTAAATGGCAAAATCTTAAGTATTACTTTATTTTACACAAAAGGTTGTGTTCAAGAAGCCTGCAAAATCACAGCTAAATCATTTTTATGATCCTGTTCAGATCATCTCATTTGGGTTTTTAGTCAGAAAGTGACAGCATTTAAGATTAGTCTCTTTCCTTCTGAACTCTCAGGATATAAATATGCCCTACTATCCTCTACCAAGCAGCAAGATTAAAATACTAAGATGATGAAGGCCATGAGTAAAGGTTGTAGTTTTTGTTCCCAGCCCTCAAAAAGAAGAGAATTCTGAGAGGACTTCTATACAAAGGTACACTGTCAAATAGTTCAAAGTGTCATGTTGGGATTTCCTGTTTGCTTTTATGTTTAGTTATTGGTAGTTTTCTATTCAGAAAAACTAAATTCCCAGAGACCAGCCACTACTCTGGCCACCTACCCTCCCCACCATTGAACTCCACTTATGCTTCTTAGCCAGCTACTAATTGTCCTACTGGAACCAAGTCATGTTTACAATTTCCATTGTATCAACTCTTATTAAAAGCTTAGCAAGACATGTTTCAGAAGTGGATGGACCTAGGCATTTTGACAGTTTTATGTTATCAGAAGGTGATGACTTCTACTTTAATAGAAATAAAATAAATTTTTAAGAAGTAAAATAAAACTACCATAGGTTGATATTCTCCTTAAATATATCTCAATCTCATTTCTTTTTTCCTTAAGAAATCTGTATTTTAGAAGAAGTTCATTACTTTTCTGATTTCAAGATTTAACTTTGAAAGGAGTATTATTCAAGTTTTGAGGTAAAAATAGAATACATTATTAAAATATGTCAGCAATGGTTTGGGAAAAAAATGTAAAAGCTCCTGCATTTAAACTTTCAGCATAAACACAGTATAGTGGCATTCATTTAAATAGTTCCTAGGGTAGCCAGATGGTTGAACCAAAAATACCAACCCCCCCCCCCTCCCCCAAATACTGGTGAGGAAAAGCAGGGGGCAAAAAGTTGTTGAGCAAAAAGAAAAACAAACAAACAATAAAACAGCATTAAAACAGCATGGCCCCTTTCAGAGTGAGTGCACAGTTAGACTAGGGATAGGAACAGAGGAGAAGTTGAACACTAAAACCCAGGGAAGGCATTGCTTCCCCTTGGTCTTTAAGCTTTTTGCCGGCGGCCATTTTGTGTTCTTGTTCAAGCCAGAACTTAGCTTCCCTGTGGAACCAGGTAAGAATGGGCTCCGGGAGTGAGGGGTTGGGGGGTGTCGGGGCCCAGGTGGGAGGAGGCCTGGGGCTGGGCCCAGGTGTTAGGGTTGCCAGGTGTGCAGTATTTTCGCCTCCTGGCTGGGAAAAAAAAATCAGAAAATATCAGACATTTTAGGTGTCCAGTATTTTCTGATTTTTTTAAAAAACCGGACAGGAGACAAAAATACTGGACTGTCCAGGTCAATACCGGACACCTGGCAACTCTAACAGTTCCATGTGGAGAAAAAACTTTCACACTTTCATTTATTAAGAATGAACACAGTTACAATAAAAATGTTTCATTACCTGCTGAAGCTATTTTTTGGAAAGAATTTCACGACAGTAGGATTTTCAATATATGTAAAAAATGGATGGTTTATGGAGTTCTGCGTGTCTCCATAATGCACAATTACAGGAACTTCTTCAACTTTATCATATTTTCCTGTTCTGCAAACTATTTGTTCTCCAAATTTAATGCTGGAAATGGGAGGGGAAACAAAATGTGAAACAAGGCTCAAATTACTAGCATAATTTTTGATCATTACCTTCATTAGAGCAAAATAAAATAATAAAGAATGGGGCCCTACTCTCCTAGACATTGAACAAATGGTAGCAAACAATCCCTGCCCCAGAGAGTTTACAATCTATTCAGACAAGATAGACATGAGGGACTGTGGAGCAAATGGCTGCAAACATGGTAGTTCCAAATTTTGTTTTATTTTTTGGGTGGGTCTAGTGAGAAAAGGGGATCAGCTACATGAAAAGAAAGGGGGACGCGAAGAGACGAGCCTTAGAGATGGGAATGAACAGTACAGGTAATGAACAGTACAGGTAATCATCAAGCGATCCTTCTCCTGTCAACCATTTCCAGCCTCTGACAAACAGAGGCTAGACACACCATTCCCACCCATCTTGGCTAACAGCCATGAATTTATCTAGTTCTTTTTAAAACCCTGTTAAAGTCTTGGTTTTTGCAACATCCTCTGGCGAGGAATTCCACAGGTTGACTGTTCAATGCATGAATAAAAATGTTATTTTGTTTGTTTTAAACCAGCTACCTTTTAATTTCATTTCATGACCCCTAGTTCTTATGTTATGGGAACAACTAAATAATAGAGGGTTGGAGCAAATAGCCAACCAGTACAGGGTAGAGAAATCCAGTCAACACTGCAGAAATATCTCTAAATATCTGAAGGTTTCTGTTCTGGCTGCTTCTGCAGCTATTCTTACCTGCTTGCTTCTCTGGCTGGTTCCTCTCTGCAGTTTACCTTCATGGCCACATGGCCAAGAAGTGGGGGTGGGGGGAAGGGAGGCTGTGGGCTTTATACTAGTCTGTATTACAGTCATAAAATGACACATTTTAGTAAGGGCAAAGCATCATTAAAAATAGAAGACAAGTGTTTCCATCCTTCTCCTTACTCCATCCCTTAATGACTTCTTACTGCTAATGCCCTCTCCTCGATCTGTCCCGGTGATACACAGAAAAAATATAAAACAAAAAAACTACTCAAAAATTAAATCAACAAAATTATGGCATCTACTTAATGGGCACAAGTCATCAATCTATGTTTGCTCTGCTCCAGTCTTTTAATCCCTTTCTCTCACTGTCTGTTTGTTCTGTTTAGAGATAAGCCATTCAGGGCAGAAATCTCTTGTAATAGATTTGCACAATGTCTAGCACAGATGGACTCCAGTCTCAGTTGGTGCTAGTTGCGTACAAGACAATGCTGCATACGTACATGTTGCAGGCCACATTACCGAGGCACACGCTAACATCTTTCTGGGAACCCGTTTCCAGATTGTTACCAGTGATCGTAAGGACAGTTCCACCGGCTAGGGGGCCTTTTTGTGGATGTATTCCAGTAGGCTGAGGTTTCTGTAAGAAAAAAATGTCAACAAACTAATTAAACGCATAGATTTATTTTTTTTTATATAAGAACTATTTATATTTCTAGTGATTATAGACTAGGTTTTCAACAATGAGCAGTAGTTTTGGATGCCTAACGTGAAACATCTAAATGGATGCCTGACTTTTTAGAAAAAAAGTAGCATCTCTCAAAAAAATCAGTCCCCGTTGCGGAGATCTCAATCTGACACACTTTTGAAAAGGACAGCATCAGTATGGATGGGAAAAATAAAAAAAAGCCCCCATGAGAATAATTGGATTAGGAACTAATCTGCCACAACAAATTATTCTTCATTAAGAATGGGATGATGAACAGCTAATGTGGATTTACTCATATGCAAGGTATTGCACTAAAGCATCCTCAGGCTTTCTCCAGATTTAAAGATCCCAACCTCAACTTGTAGACAGGCTGCTAACTAGCGGTCTTATAATTGCCTGTTAGACTTCTATTTTTAATTTTTATTTTATAGTACTTCTCCCCTCCTGAATGCTGATTCAACCTTAAGTCTTCCCAACTTGATGGATAGTCTACCGCAGAGAAAAAGTAGCTTTTTAACATTGCCAAAGAAAGAGAGAAAAGGCAAGTTTCCATTTACAAGTTGTTAGGCAAGACAAATGACCTTGGTCATGTCTCTGTGGTAACAGCTTGGAAAAATCAGAGCACAATGTTGTATGTTTTGTACTGAAGCTTAGAGTAGGTGCACATGCACACACACATGCTAAGCCAAGTAGATTTAAAAAAAATCATGTGGGGAGAAAAATTAATAGAGCATACTGTACCAAACAAGTTTACCCGGATTTCTGTGAATGTCTTTCTTCTTATAAAGAATACTTTAAGGAAAAACTTGTCTGTTAATTATTTATAAATTATATTAACAGTAATTTACAAATTGTTCATTTAAACTATTTACTATGGCTCAAGAAAACATCACAATTTTCAAGCATGTAAGCATTTGTCTACCTTTAAGAAGGTGCTTATATCCCACATATTTAAGTGCTTTCCTGAATCAGAACCCATTTGAAGAATGAAGGAGGTAATCTAAATCATATGTTGTTGGTTTTTCATCTCAGACTGGATGATAAACTTTTTAAAACAGGAGAATGGTAACTACAGAATATGTTTGCTCATGTACCTATGTTCTTGACCACATGTAAATATAGGTATCTACATGAAACAGATTCAACTCACTGATTTAAAGTGCTTTGTTTTAAATTAATCTGCTCTATTCTAATTTGTCAGTGAGCTGTAGCCATGTTGGATATCTTTGTTTCTTAAGAACTTCCTTTAGCCAGCACTGAGCCTTTAATTTCTTACCTGCTGTGATTTTGAATTCTCTCTATCTGAGGAGGAAAGGTAATATGGCCATAAGTCAGTGAGATAATATACTGTGAGATGTTGTCTTAAAAGTCTGGCTGTGAGTAGGAGCAAGACAGCTAGTGCAGCTTCTCCACGTTACTTATTTTTGCTGGCCTATGTACATCTTCAGCTGGTTTAACACACAAAAAAACCTGGCTCCAAGCAATTAGGCAGTGACTTCCGCAAATTTAGCTGTCTGACTTTCCTGAAAACTTGCTAGCAAACATGCATTGCTTAATATTTTTAAGAATTAATTTAAATTATTTTACTAGATTATAGTAGGCCTGAATAAGAATTCTGTGTTAGCTCAAAAGCTTGGTCTCTCTCACCAATAGATGATGGTCCAATAATAAGATATTGCCTCAACCACCTTGTTTTACTAAAGTATAGTAAGATTAAGCCTTGGCATAGGTGTAAATTTGAAACCTGAAATTAACATTTATTTTATTAAAAAAAATCTTGTATTTAAATTTAAAAAAATCAAATTGAAATATAACATTTGATCTTTTATTTTTTTTAAATCTGTTTTTCTACCCTGAGTTAACCAACAACATAAAGAGACAAAATCTTATTAAAAAGTAAACATTTACAATATTTTAAACATACTTTGAAATATGAAACACAAACATCATCCTTTCTTGGGAGACAGCAGCTCTATATTTTTGTACTTGTGCTTCAAAGTGCATTAAAATTAGGGCATCATTCACATATAAATGCTCTCCTTTCTGTGCTTTATTGCTTCAAGTACTTATCAAATGATATTTGTCTAAATCTCCCCTTCTACACCCCTCCTCTGAGCTGAGAAGTTTTGAAAGTCCTTGCAAGTTGCTGGAATCAGTAAAAACAGATTCAGTTGACATGGTGAATCTGTAGCACTAATTTTACAGAATGCTAAAGAACTACCAGAAGCGCTGCTGAAGTATACTTAATGCCTGGGAGGCTTCTCTGAGAATAAATGCAATGTTCAATGAAATTCGCAATTCAAATTATTACAATTTTACTTTGATACTTGGGAGTACAGTAAACTTCTAAAGTCTGTGCCTATGGGTTCTTTTTTAATACTGTTTGAGTGCTTTCCTCTCCTGAAAAATCTGCATTAAAAAAACCAAACCCCCTGCTTAGTGCTATAGTTTTAGTGGGAAAATATGCCACAAAACTCTCCAAGACATATTGGTAATATGGGTTCAACACATTTTTACTTCACTTGCGATAATTACATTACTGATAATTTAAAATCCCTGTTGGAGCTGTGACTGGTGGCAGAAAAGAGGAGACAGAATTTGGTCAGAAATTGCCTTTTAACCCCAGTTTTCTTAAAGCCCATCCTCATTTACCAGCAGTGCCTCGCAGGATTCATTTAAAGACTGACAAAAATGAGGAGGCTGAAGATGAATACTCAGTACTATACTATTACAAATAATGTAATAAAATATAAGTGATTATCAGAGATGGCCTAAGTGTGTACTGAACTACATATCTGAGATGATCTCTAATAAGTGTGAATTCCTTATCCGGGGTTCATTATACTAAACCAGGAAGGAAAATGAGTGTCTTGATTTTTTCTTGCTTCCCCGCGCTCTACTGCCTCTCTTTTAGCTAGATATAGCTTTGAGATGTCCAGAATAAATAACTGTTTTAAATGAGTGCCTATTTATAAAATTAACCACCATTTTTATCACAAAGTTAAAAAAAAAAAAACCCTTCTAAGTTCCTTATGCTCTTGTAGTATGTTTATCAGTTACTCACAGATCAAAAGCTGTCTCAGCACACTCGAGGTGTTTCTTAATGGACCAATAAAAAAACTTGTGCCAGAGTGTCTTAATGGTTTAATGAAAAGCACTTTTCACAAATTCAATCACATCAGCTGGTATAGCATATCATCTTTTAAATCTCCTGTTGAATGTTGAGATGGTTTCAATGTGT